GTCTGGCCCCTCTGCTGTAGGACTGCTGAGGTCCACTCCAGGCCCTGCTTGCCTGGGGATCACCTGCAGTGGCTGCAGAACAGTAATGGTTGCTGCCAATTTCTTCTTCTGTTATCTTTGTCCCAGAAGGATACCCACCAAATAGTCTGAGCTCTCCTTTATGAGGTGACTCTTTGGATATACAGGGGTCAGGAAGCTGCCTGAGGAGACAGTCTGTCCTTTATAGGAGCTCCAGTGATGACCTGTGATCTCTGTTGTTCATTTAGAGCTGCTAGGCAGGTACGTTTAAGTCTGCTGCAGCCAAACTCACAAACCCCCCTTTTTTTTTTACCCAGATGCTCTCTCCCGGGTAGTTAGGTCTTTATTTATGAGCTTCCATTGTGCTGCTGCCTTTTTATCAGGGCTGCCCTGCCCAGTGAGGAGGCAGCCTAGTCACTGTTTGCCTGCAGAGGCTTTGCTGAGCTGCTGTGGGTTCCCCCCAGCTGCTGTGTAAACTTCCCTGCAGTCCTGTTTATATGGGTGTAGTTAGAACTGCCTCGGCAAAGCCGGCCCACCTCTGTAATGGTGGGCTGTCTCTGTCGTGGTGGGTTGCCTTGGCAACAGCGGGCTACCTCTGCAATGGCAGACTACCTCTGTAATGGTGGAGTGCCTCAGTAATGGTGAACACCCCTCTCCCACAGAGCTGGACCTTCCTGGGTTCAGCTGTGCTTACTGTGAAACTCTCAACCCAGAGTGTTTCCAATTGCTGTTTTTTGGTGGGGGTGGGACCAGCTGAGCCTGATCACCTGGCTCCCTGCCTCAGAGCCTTTTTTTTTAGTTAAACAGTAGACTCTCTCCCAGGTGTTCCAGTTGCCTGTTGAAAATGTGCTGGGATCTGTGTGATTTCCCATGCAGTGACCCACTGCACCAGCTGAAACAGCAGTGCTGAGATTCGTGGTGTTTTTTCACCTGGAAATCTCCTGGCCTGGCTCCCTGTTTCAGTCCCATTTTTAATCAGATGAATGGGTGACTCTGCCTTCTCGGAGCTCCAATCACCAGCTAAAAGGTGCCCAGAACCATTTATTTTGTATGGAGAACCACTGCCGGGGCGCCAGCAAAGCAGCCCGCCGGCCAAACCAGCCGTGCTGGTGACCTGTGGGGCTCCTCCACCTGGGAATCTCCTGGTCTGTGGGCAATAAAAATCCATCTGGAAATGCGATGTCCACCCACCCTCCACTCCCACTTTCACTGGGAACTGCAATCCTGAGCTGCTCCTAATCAGCCATCTTGGATCCTCCTCTCCCCTCTTATTTTCTTGAGCAGTGGTTTGTAGTTCTCCTTGAAGAGGTCCTTCACATCCCTTGTTAGTTGTATTCCTAGGTATTTTATTCTCTGGTAGCAATTGTGAATAGGCGTTCTCCCATGATTTGGCTCTCTATTTGTCTGTTATTGGTGTATTGGAATGCTTGTGATTTTTGCAGATTGATTTTGTATCCTGAGTCTTTGCCGAAGTTGCTTATCAACTTAAGGAGATTTTGGGCTGAGATGATGAGGTCTACTAAATATGCAATGATGTCATCTGCAAACAGGGACGATTTGATGTCCTCTCTTCCTATTTCGTTCTCTTGCCTGTGGCCCTAGCCAGCACTTCCAATATTATGTTGAATAAGAGTGGTGAGAGAGGGCATCCTTGTCTTTTGCCAGTTTTCTTTTTCTTTTTTTTCTTTTTTTTTTTTTTTTGAGACGGAGTTTCGCTCTTGCTATCCAGGCTGGAGTGCAATGGCGCGATCTCGGCTCACCACAACCTCCGCCTCCTGGGTTCAGGCAATTCTCCTGCCTCAGCCTCCTGAGTAGCTGGGACTACAGGCATGCGCCACCATGCCCAGCTAATTTTTTGTATTTTTAGTAGAGACGGGGTTTCACCATGTTGACCAGGATGGTCTTGATCTCTTGACCTCGTGATCCACCCGCCTCGGCCTCCCAAAGTGCTGGGATTACAGGTTTGAGCCACCGCGCCCGGCCTTGCCAGTTTTCTAAGGGAATGCTTTCAGTTTTTGCCCATTCAGTAAGATATTGGCTGTGAGTTTGTCATAAATAGCTCTTATTATTTTGAGATATGATCCATTGGTACCTAGTTTATTGAGAGCTTTTAGCGTAAAGCGCTGTTGAACTTTGTCTAAGGCCTTCTCTGAATCTATTGAGATAATCATGTGGTTTTTGTTTTTGGTTTTCTTCATGTGATGGATTATGTTTATAGATTTGTGTATGTTGAACCAGCCTCACATCCCTGGGATGAAGCCTACTTGACCATGGTGGGTGTGATCAAACTTTCTGATGTGCTGTTGGATTTGTTTTGCCAGTATTTTATTTAAGATTCTTGCATCACTGTTCATCACAGATATTGGCCTGAAATTTTCTTTTTTAGTTGTGTCTCTGCCAGGTTTTGGTATCACGATGATGTGGTTCTCATAAAATGAGTTAGGGAGGCTTCCCTCTTTCTGTAGTGTTTGGAATAGTTTCAGAAGGAATGGTACCAGCTCCTCTTTGTACATCTGGTAGAATTCGGCTGTGAACCTGTCTGGTCATGGACTTTTTTTGGTTGATAGGCTGTTAATTGCTGCCTCAATTTCAAACCTTGTTATTGGTCTATTCAGGAATTCAACTTCTTCCTGGTTTAGTCTTGGGAGAGTATAAGTGTCCAGAAATTTATTCATTTCTTCTAGATTTAGTGGTTTATATGCATAGCATTTGTAGTAATCTCTGATGGTTTGTTTTCTGTGGGATCGGTGGTGATATCCCCTTTATCATTTTTTATTCCATCTATTTGAATCTTCTCTCTTTTCTTTTTTATTAGTCTGGCTAACAGTCTATTTATTTTGTTGATCTTTTTAAAAAACCAGCTCCTGGATTTATTAATTTTTTGAAGGGTTTTTTTGTATCTCCATCTCCTTCAGTTCTGCTTTGATCTTAGTTATTTCTTGTCTTCTGCTAGCTTTTGAATTTGTTTGATCTTGCTCCTCTAGTTCTTTTAATCATGACATTAGAGTGCCAATTTTATATCTTTCCTTGCTTCTCTGGGGGGCATTTAGTGCTATAAATAGCTCTCTACACACTGCTTTAAATGTGTCCCAGAGATTCTGGTAAGTTGTGTCTTTTTTTTGATTGGTTTTGAAGAACATCTTTATTTCTGCCTCATTTCATTATTTATCTAGTAGTCATTCAAGAGCAGGTTGTTTAGTTCCCATGTAGTTGTGCAGTTTTGAGTGAGTTTCTTAATTCTGAGTCCTAATTTGATTGCACTGTGAGAGACTGGTTGTTATGATTTCCATTCTTTTGCATTTGCTGAGGACTGTTTTACTTCCAATTATGTGGTCAGTTTTAGAATAAATGTGATGTGGTGCTGAGAAGAATGTATATTCTGTGGATTTGGGGTGGAGAGTTCTGTAGATGTCTATTAGGTCTGCTTGGTCCAGATCTGAGTTCAAGTCCTGGATATCCTTGTTAGTTTCCTGTCTCATTGATCTGTCTAGTATTGACAGTGGGATGTTAAAATCTTCCAATATTATTGTGTGGGAGTCTAAGTCTCTTTGTAGGTCATTAAGAACTTGCTTTATGAATCTGGGTGCTCCTGTATTGGGTGCATATATGTTTAGGATAGTTAACTCTTCTAGTTGCATTGATCCTTTTACCATTATGTAATACCCTTCTTTGTCTCTTTTGATCTTGGTTGGTTTAAAGTCCATTTTGTCAGAGGCTAGGATTGCAACCCCTGCTTTTTTTTTTTTTAATCTCCATTTGCTTGGTAAATGTTTCTCCATCACTTTATTTTGAGCCTATGTGTGTCTTTGCAAGTGAGGTGGGTTTCCTGAACACAGCACACCAATGGGTCTTGACTTTTTTTTTTTTTAATCCAATTTGCCATCCTGTGTCTTTTGTCTTTGGTCTTTGAAGCTAGTGACTTTTGGATGGAGTTTCTGAGTAGACATCTTTTCTGTTGATGTTGAAGCTATTTCTTTCTGTTTGTTAATTTTCTTTCTAACAGTTAGACCCCTCTGCTGCAGGTCTGCTGGAATTTGCTGGAGGTCCACGCCTGCTTTCCTGGGAATCACCTGCGGGGGCTGCAGGACAGCAAATGTTGCTGCCCGTTTCTTCTTCTGGTAGCTGTGTCCCAAAAAGGGAACCTACCAGTTGTCAGCCAGAGCTATTCTGTATGACGTGTCTCCCAGTTAGGATACACGGGGTGGGGAGGGGGTCAGGGAGCCGCTTGAGGAGGCAGCCTGTCCCTTAACGGAGCTCAAGCACAGTGCTGGGGGATCCTTGCTCCTTTCAGGGCTGCCATGCAGGGATGTTTAAGTCTGCTGAAGCAGAATTCATAACCGCCCCTTTTCCCAGATTCTCTGTCCCAGGAAAGTGGGGGCTTTTAAAGTCCCTGATGGACTGCTGTCTTTTTTTTTTCTGGGATGCCCTGCCCAGCAAGAAGGGAATCTACTTGATGGTCTGCCTGCAGAGGCCACCCCCCAGCTGCTGTGTAAACTTCCCAGCAGCTTTGTTTACGCAGGCAATGTTGAAACCGCTTACTGGGCTCTGCCCAGCTGCCGTGTAAACTTCCCAGTGGCTTTGTTTACACAGGCAATGTTGAAACCCCTTAGGGAGCCTCAGTAATGGTGGTCGCCCCTCCTCCCACCAAGCTCTAACTTCTCAGGTTGAGCTCAGACTGTTGTGCTTGTTGTAAGAATTTTAAGTCAGTGGATTTTAGTTTACCGGTCTCAGTCCCCTTTTTCAGGGGAATGGGTGGTTCTGTCTCAAGTGGCATTCCAGGTGCCACTTGACTAAAACTGCCACCCAGTTTTGTGCTGGAAACCCAGGCGCTGGCGTTGTAGGCGCCAGATGGAGTCTCCTGGTCTGTGGGTTGTGTAAACCATGGGAAAATTTAGTATATGAACCAGTGTCCAGAAAAGTCCGGGCTGTTCCCACTGCCTAACCAGTCCCAATGAGATGAACCTGGTAGCTCTATTGGAAATGTGGAGATCACTCATCTTCTGGTGCGCTCTTGCTGGGAGCTGCAGACTGGAGCTGTTCCTATTCAGCTGTTTTAGCTTTTTATTGGGGCACGACAATTGTTTCTTTTAAGGCATTGCTAAATTTTTTGTCTAAATGAAAGAAAAGAAACAAATTGAAAATTCCACATTACACACTGATCTGGTGATCTCAACATGCTCATGGGTTTCTTCTAATGATTGTACTGTTTTGGGGCATTGCTTTCTCAATTTCCTTTTTGTCTTTTTTACCTCATCTCTCGGAATAAATCAAAGGAAACCCCAGTCTTTCAAAAAGACTTCTTCTTTTGAGTTAACTTTCTTATATTGAGAACCTTCTAATCTCACTAGAATATGTAACATTGGTGTTCACTCTCAAGTATTTCTGAATATATTCCTCTATTCACAGGAGTATACTCTGGGGAAAAAATAGAGCAAGTCCTTGCCCTCCTGACCATTGAACAACAAGAGACTAATTATACAATGGGGCTAGAAAAACCCCAGAGTAAACGTGAGTACTTTCTTTCCTTTCAATTTCAAAGATGGAATTACAACTAAATTTAAAAGATATGAATTGATGGTAGTTTTAAAGACTGATGATGATGATGGGGAGGAGGAGGTGGAAGGAAATAAAAGTGATGTTGGTGAAGAGGAAGGACATGCAGTGAAATAACAGAAACTTCTTTGTGCAATGTAGATTGGACCAAGAGTGGAGATAAAATATATAAAAGAGAAATGGGAGGGAAAGAAAGAGGGTAACATGAGAAGATTCTTTTAAAGGCAAAAGGGAAAAGGAAGATGTAGGAAACACACATATGCTTATCGTGTATGAGAGGCTCTGATTGTCCCATTTTATGTCTGTCTTAAGTGACACAGGTGGCTTTGTATTGTGATAACACTAAATAATATTTTTGATAAATATACAGAACAAATGCAGAAATGTATAAATTAAAATTAAATTTTAACTTTATCTCATCACCCTCCCATGGCAGACTTCATTAGGATCACACTTTACAAAGGTCCTAAAACTACCTTTTTAGGTAACAATATTTCTTGGAGATTTCTTGCATCAATATATACTGATTACATGCTTATTTAATTACTATATAGAATGTCATTGTGTGAAGTGACCATAATTTAGAATTTCCACTACTGATGAGACAAATGCAAATATTAGATTCCAGTATGTTTTTTCTATTTTGAAAAGTACTGCCATGAATATCTTTTAACATAAATAAGTTCGATTATTTCTATAGGATAGATACCTATAATTGAAATTATTGTGGCAAATGTAATGCCTTTCAAAATGGATAAATGCTGCTAACTTGATCCTTCTAAAAGGCATTCCTAATTTTAGAGTCCAGGCAGCAGCATTTATTTTCTCACCAAGCATGCTGATTTCCCCTCAGCCTTGCCAACGCTGCATGTATTTAATTTACTTAAAAAATCTGATATGTGAAAAGTTATACCACAATCTTTTAGTTTACAGTTCCCTGATTGGGCATATTTTTGTTTGATTAGTATCTATTTATAACTTCAGCAAATTAAAATTTCAGCAAATTTCCTGCTCAAAGTTTTGCTTAGTTTTCTAGTTGATTCTGAAATTCTTTATAGTCTGGATATTAATACTATGACAAGACTTTTCTTTCACGTGTTCCTTATCTTTAATATTGTTTGTGTTATATAGAAGTTTTAATTTTTATGTACCCAAATGATCAATTTTAATGGCTTTTGGATTTTGTATCTTACTTATAAAATTCTTTTTATTCCAAAATTACCAAAAACCTTATGTTTTTCTTTCCTATTTATTCAATAAGCTCTAAAATCGATTTATTTGGAGAAAATATTTACGCTTTTTCCAGATCTAAAATATGTTGTTTGCTTTCATTTTTAGATTGCTCCTTGGTAGAATTAGCTTCCCTAGCTTGTCTTTGAGAGGAGGTTAATCTCTATTTTTTTTAGTCCTAATGGAAGGAGGCATGCATTTCCAGCTGATTCCTTGGGTTGTTGCTATAGTTTTCATCTTACTTCTCGGTTCCTGTTTCATTGCCAGTTGTTTGGGTAAGTTATTAGCCAAAGTAGAACATTTCTTGAATATTTTTTCCAAACATCTTTTCTGAAGTTGCTCTAAGCCTTTTGCTATCTTGATTTTTCTTAACATAGCTGTCTTCAGAGTCTTGTGTTCAATATTCAGAGCTACATTGTTTACCTTCTGTCTTTTGATGGTGCTACCTTGTGATAGAGAATGACAGATGGAATTTAAATCATTTTCTGTACATGTAAAAGGTGGTTACTATAGTGAATTTCTGCCCATTTTGGACTGGGATTACAAAGGGACATATCATATGAGTAAAGAGTAAGCAGCAGAAAAATAACTTTCAGATAGACTGGCTTTGAAAAGAGCAGTGTTGGAAGAGTTGTTCTCTCTCTCTTTTTCTCTTTCTTTCTTTTTTTTTTTTGAGACGGAGTTTCACTCATGTTACCCAGGCTGGAGTGCAATGGCGCGATCTCGGCTCACCGCAACCTCCGCCTCCTGGGTTCAGGCAATTCTCCTGCCTCAGCCTCCTGAGTAGCTGGGATTACAGGCATGCACCATCATGCCCAGCTAATTTTTTGTATTTTTAGTAGAGACGGGGTTTCACCATGTTGGCCAGGATGGTCTCGATCTCTTGACCTCGTGATCCACCCGCCTCGGCCTCCCAAAGTGCTGGGATTACAGGAGTGAGCCACCGCGCCCGGCCTCTTTTTCTCTTTCTTTACCTCTCTCTCTTTCTTTTTTTCCTTTCTTTTGACCTCTTTATTGATATAAAATTGACATATAAAAACCTGCACATATTTAATGTATACATCTCAATTTGGGAGATAAGTATACAGCCTTGAAACCATCACCATCATTAAAACCATTGGAAGACATTCTTTCTGATATCGCAAATAATTATAATTAAAGTAATATGGTATAGGTGCAAGGCAAGTAGGCTAGAGGAAAATAAAGGAGAGCTTGGTTACAGATCCTGCATGTATATAAGACTCTTCATATAGAACAAAAGACAGTATCTCGGAGTTATGGGAAAAGAACAGTTTTATTTAATTAATGTTGCAGAGCCCATTGATTATTTATATTTAAAAGATGAAGTTGGTCTCCTGCATCATACTATATACAAAAACAAATCTAGAGTGGATTATTGTGCAAAATGTGAAAAGTAAATCAATAAAGATTTAAGAAGATAAATGGAGAATTTCCTCATGACCTTAAGGCAGAGAACAATTTCTTAAACAAGTCACAAAATGCACTAGAAAATAAACATTGGCAAATTATACTACATTAAAATGAGTTACTGTACAACAAAACATATTACTAACAGTGAAAATAAGCCATAGGAGAAGATACTTGTAATGTATATTATTAGTAAATAATTCACATGCAGATTATATAAAATTTTTTTCAAACCAATAGGAAAAATATTTACAATAAAAACAGTGGGCAAAGTCTTAAATAGGTACTAAAAAAAGAGAAAATGAAATGTCTAATAAACACACAAAAGTGCCAGGCTCATTAATTATCAGGGAAATGCAAATGCAACTCACAATAAGATACCTTTGCACACATAACAGGATGGCAACAATTAAAAAGTCCGGCACTACCAAATATTGATGATGCTGTGGAGCAAATGGACCTCTAATGAATTGCTTCTGGTGGAGTTTAAGTATTACAACCAATTTGGAAAAGTTGGCCACTATCATAGTTTACAATATTCATACCCTATTGCCTGCAGCTCCACTCCTACATATATGACCTACAGAAATGCATGCTTCTGTGCTCCACGATGCATGGCCAAAAATGCTCAGAAGAGCATAATTCACAGTAGCCAAACACTGGAAACCATGCAAACATCTAATAGGAGTAGAATAGATAAATATATTTCATTTCATGAAGACACTAGTTCACTTACGGCAATGAAAATAGATGAATTATAGCCGGCAGGTAACAAAATAGATAAATTTCAGAAACATTGCTAAACAAAAGGCAGAATCAGAATATATACTGTATGATTGCCATTCAAAAACAGGCAGATGTGATCTATAGGGGACATGTTAGTAAGTGATGAAATTGTGAAGCAGAGCACAGTGGTTACCTTTAAAGGAGAGGGAGTGAGTTGTATTTGAGATGCAAAGGCTACCTGGGGTTTTGGCAGTATTCTGTTTCTTGAGCTGAGCTTAGTTTTCTTGAGGTTAGTTGTTACCTGGAGTGTTCACCTTACAATAATTTGCTAAACTGTTTTCCACTTTTTTACATTTGTTTATATTTCAAGGTGAAAGTATTTTAGAAATGCATAAGGCTCATACAACCCAGTGCTCACCAAAAGCCTCTACTCAACACACATTTTGATAGAAAAACATGCTTACAAGCATGTGCACATAAAAGTTTGCAAAACTCCTATAAAGCACAAAATAGACAATATAATAATAAAAATATTAATTTTCAACAATTACTTTCAACCAATTCACCCAGAGCTGAAGCAAACAAGCTGCATAGAAAGAAAAGAGAATATGAGGGCCTTAACTATTAGGATATGAGAAAGGTTAGGGAGGTCAGCCCCTATTTCCCTAATTAGTGCTTATATAGAAAATGGAAACTAACTTGCTTTTATCCTTGACAGTGACTCATCACAACTTTTCACGCTGTAAGAGAGGCACAGGAGTGAACAAGTTAGAGCACCATGCAAAGCTCACTTGCATCAAAGAGAAATCAGAACTGAAAAGTGCTGAAGGTAGACAGCATAAGAAAATTTCTCTTTTAATTTCCATTTTCATTGAAATTCATAATTTGACTTAAGGAATGTCAATAGTGAACCAGGAAGGATTAAAATAGCATAAGACGAGAATCTGGCATAGGAGTACCTAACAATACATTAAGATAGAATTATTTCTCATTACTGTAATCAGTTAATAACTGGAGAATATGGCTTAACAGATCGATGGGTTCTTTTTGACATCCAAAATGTAACAAATTGAATTTTTCCTTGATTCAGATATATCATAAAGACAGGTTCCTCCTAGAATATATAGCTTTGCGGACATGTCTTTATTTCTTTTATTATTGTAGAATTTGTCATCTCATTTGGGAGAATGGAAGAGTGCTTGAGTTTTAGTAGGTTCTTTACCCCCCTTTAGGTAAAATATCCTGCAAAAGCTTTGTCATGGAAACACTTTCAATATGAAAGTCAACGGATGTAGGAACATTGAATAATATTTATGCTTTATAAGATAATGTTTTATAATTTTCTTATAGTCATTACGTGGTTTCCAATACTTACGTTTAGAAGATATTTAGGAATGCAATTTTTAGGATCTTTTGGCAGGACAGAATAATTTTGGTAATCTTGATATTATTCTCAGAAACATAAATTGAGTATTAGGTAGTGGAATAGTTAACGCAACCTGTTACAGATGAAATGCTCTTTCGTTACCAATTTCCATTTTAATTTTCACCTGAGGGAGCACCTGGAACTGTTGTCCTGTTGACTGGAGAGCCTTCCAGTCCAACTGCTATTTTCCTCTTACTGACAACAAGACGTGGGCTGAGAGTGAAAGGAACTGTTCAGGGATGAGGGCCCATCTGATGACCATCAGCACGGAAGCTGAGCAGGTGTGTTGGGAGGATCACATCAGTTTCTCTGCTGGTTTGAATCTCTTTGTGAAAAAAGAGGAATTTCTCTGTCTTGCAATGCCTCTGTCTGTTTTCATCTGCTCCATTTGCCTAGAAAGCCCTTTCTTCCTCTTCAATTTTTTGTCTTATGGCCAACTTCTTTTGGCCTTTCTATATTAGATTCATATGTTATCTGCTCCGGAAAGCTACCCTAACTACCTTCTGCATTCTACCCCTCCCTTTTCTAAGTAGGCGGTACTTCTGTGGGACTTTGTGCACAATGAGATCATGGCATTTACTCCACTCCACTACAACTGTGTTTACTGCTCCATCTCTTTCGGTGACTCCTCCTACGTGGAGAGCTGGGACCATGCTCTACGCACCTTTGCATTTCCAACGTCCTGTGCAGTGTGAAGCACACTGGATAGGTCTTGATAAGTGTTTGGTTAGTAGGTGAATAAATGAATGGCTAATCAGGACTGAACTAGCTTCTTAGGATAAAGTATAGGAAAAATAGTTCAAATATATGGATCTAACAATAAGTAAAGAAATATTAGGGTAAATTCTTTAAAGGCTGAAATTGATTTCCTCATATAATATGTTTCCACTTATGTACCATGACTCAGATCCTAAGTTTTTCTTGATGAATAGTGTCCTCAAGGAGTTTGTCTCCATAGCTTTACAATCCATAGGTTCAGTGATTCTGAATAAAGTGGAATTTAATGAAATATGCACACCATTAAAGAAGGTGATATTACAAACAAAACCTCCTTACAATTCTAATCCTATTAAGCATTGTGCTGAAAGGGTTGTAAGTACGACCTCACTTAATCTTCATAGTAACTCTGTGAAGTATTTGGAGGTGTCCCTTCTGAAGATGAAAGCACTGGGGATTTGGTGAGACTGAAGCACTTAAATTACAAGCAGGATTTGAAAACAGATCTACCTGATGCCAGAGCTTTTGTGCTTAACCAGTAAACTAGTTGACATCTTTCCTCTTTTTCCAACATAATAGCCATCACCAGACTCATGCAAATATATTAAAATTTCTGTTTTTTATGCAGAACTTTACTATTCAATTTTTGGATAGACGGTTTTCCTATTTCCTTGGACTTAGAAATGAGAACGCTGAAGGACAGTGGCGCTGGGTGGACCAGATGCCATTTAACCCACGCATAGTGTGAGTATATCGAGTGGGTCTAAGGGGATTTATGAGCAAAGGTTAGAAGATGGTAGCAAGAAACATCCATTTTGAAGTGGAATACATTGATATAAAAATGTTAGGAGAAAGCACTGTAGATTGAGTAATCTCCATATGCTATGTCCCAGTTCCAGAATGGTTCTGTGATTTCCATGAAATTATCAGTATTCTTATTTATACAATGTCAATAATGAAAGAATGAATAGCGTGGAAGTGATATAAAAATTGTTTTAGGCTTGACATTTAAATAAACAATATAAGCAATAAAGATTGTCTTTGAATTAGAATTAAAATCTTCTCAGTTTTATTTTCTTGAAGCCAATATTGCTTAGTAAAAATATAATGCAAAACCACATGTGCAATTTAAAATTTTTGGTAGCCACATTGAGAAAGTAAAAAGAAGCAAGTGAAATGTATTTTATTAATGTATTAATGATGTATGTAACCCAGTATATCCAAATCTTACCATTTCAACATGTGATCGATATAAAATTATTACTGAGATGTTTGACATTCTTCATTGGTACTAACTCTTCAAAATACAGTGTGCACTTAAGACTTAAAGCACATTTCAATTCAGAGAAGCAACATTTCAAGTGCTCAGTAGCTACAAGTGTCTAGTGACTATAGTATTAGTGCAGGTCTAAACTGTTCACTAGGGACATTTCTCTGAATTGTCTCCTAATATATCTATATCTAATCTACATCTATAGTCTACATCATCTATATATACCTATATATCTCTATCTATGTTGTTTTTCTTTCAGATTCTGGCATGAGAACGAACCCAACAACAATCAGGGAGAAAACTGTGTTGTTCTTGTTTATAACCAAGATAAATGGGCCTGGAATGATGTTCCTTGTAACTTTGAAGCAAGTAGGATTTGTAAAATACCTGGAATGACCCTCAACTAGAAACCCACAAAGTGCTGCTTGTGATGGAGAGAGAAAAGAACCAATTAGAACAGGGCAGAATGTACATGCATCATTGGAACACAGAAAACATGCTGGGTTATAGAGCATTTTTAGTCATGATGGTCTTTTTAATTTTGTTTGATTGATTCAAGATTGTGTGTGTGTGTGTGTGTGTAGATAACGTGGTTTTTGTATGGTGTTTGATAGAAGGAATAATCTTTCTTTGCTTTCTTAGGAGTATTTCAAGGTGTTTACTCTTCAACTGGTGTGCACTGAATGCATATTTAGAAGAATGGCTTGAATAATGCAATCTCCTTGTCATTTCCCCCCACTCAGATTCTTAGCTCTTAAAATTCAAAGGTGGGATATTCTAACTGGTAGTGGTGCATCATTTTTAACACAAATATTACAGGTACTTTAAAGATTTTTAAACCACATTTTTTAATGCTTCATTTTCAGACTTTTTAATACCAGTCATTACGTTTGCATTCTATAAGCAAAATTTTTCCAGAACAGCGTGGAATAGTTCTGAATTATGATATTGTACAGATAGATAAAAGTCCAAATGCCTTTTAAAAAGTTTACTTCTTACTCCACCCAACATGTCTTTGCAAAGCAGGAATTCTTTGTAAGACACCTTAAACAAAGTCCTTCAATTCTATAGCAGAGGAAATAAAATCCCTTGGAAGCCAAAGGGCTCACCTTCACATTGCTATTTCATGACAGACCCAGCTGTGTTTCATTAGAGATAAAATGTATTCCCTTTGGTATCACAGGAAGTTACTGGGAATGACTTGGCCTCATTACTTAGCTAACGACTGGATACAATTTCTTAATTATTTGAAGTAACAGTGTATTCAGGTTTGCATTTTTAATTTGAATAGAAAATCATGTTTTCAACCAATTTATTCAAATTTTTAATGTTTCTTTAGAGCTGTATAATTATAGTTTAAACTAGCAAGGAAGTCATTGTTCTGACAGCCAGAAATTATGCTTTTCTGATGCACGTAGTATTAATTGTGAAGGGCAGTCACATCCAACTTTAATAAAATATGGCGGTCTTTCTTAAAATTCTCAATTTGTTAATTTTTCCTGGATCTAAGCTGGAAAATTCCAAGGAATGGATTTTTAACCTAACTTTCCTACTACTACTTTTAAAAATAGTATTTATTTTGTAAATTAGTTGTTGATTTTTTGGGTTTGAAATGTTGGTGTTTGATTATGTGTGGTGGTGTGTGTGTGTGTGTGTAGCTGTGTTCAAAGCTGATACTTTTAGCTGAAATGGTGCTGAATAACTTTGATTGTGTTTGCCATATTCACTAAATTACCTAGCATGAAACCTACAAAACTTGTTGAAGTAACTTTATGTAAATGCTAATGGGCTTTGTATAGTTAATATTATCCATTTTTAGTTTGTAGAAAACTATGTATAGGTAGCGATTCAGTTGTCAATAAAATGTGATCTCCTTGTGATTTTATTCATCTGTGCCTGTATCTGTGACCTATTTCTCCCAATGCTGATCGCCTTTTATTACCTCTGTGGCTACCACTATAGACCAACCTACCACTTTGCTCACCTACATTATTGCAATGACTTTGGATTGGTCTCCCTGTTTCCACCCTGCTATGGTTTGAATGGCCCCTCCAAAACTCATATTGAAACATAATCCCAAATGTGGCAGTATTGAAAGGTGGGGCTTTTCTTTTTTTCTAAAGTAACAATTTTCTTTATTTCTTCTAAAACAAGAACAAAAATGGGAAACATGCAGAACGTGCAGGTTTGTTACATAGGTATATGTGTGCCATGGTGGTTTGCTGCCATCTTCTAAGTCCCCTCCCGTCGCCCCCAACCCCACCACAGGCCCTGGTGTGTGTGTTCCCCTCTCTGTGTCCATGTTTTCTCAATGTTCAACTCCCACTAATGAGTGAGAACATGTGGTATTTGGTTTTCTGGTCTTGTGTTAGTTTGCTGAGGAGAATGGCTTCCAGTTTCATCCATGGACCTGCAAAGCTCATGATCTCATGCCTTTTTATGGCTGCATAGTACTCCGTGGTGTATATGTACCACATTTTCTTTATCTAGTCTATCATCGATGGGCATTTGGGTGGGTTCCATATCTTTGCTATTGTGAACAGTGCTGCAGTAAACATTTGTGTGCATGTGTCTTTATGTTGATTTATATACCTTTGGGTAGATACCCAGTAATGGGATTGCTAGGTCAAGTGATATTTCTCATCCTAGATTCTTGAGGAATCGCCACACTGTCTTCCACCATGGTTGAACTAATTTACACTCCCACCAACAGTGTAAACGAGTTCCTGTTCTCCATAGCCTCTCCAGCATCTGTTGTTCCCTGACTGTTCTTTTTTTTTACTTTCTTTCTTTTTTATTGTACTTTGGGCTCTGGAGTACACGTGCGCATCATGCATCCTGCAGGATTGTTGCATAGGTACATGCCATGGTTGTTTGCTGTCTCCATACCCCCCCACCCCGCCATCGCCTACGTCAGGCATTTCTCCCAGTATTATCCCTCCCTATCCTCCCCGCCCCTCCCTGCTATCTCTCCCCTCCCCTCCACCCCCCACCTAGCCCAGCGGGTGTTGTTCCCCTCCCTGTGCCCAAGTGTTCTCATTGTTCATCACCCACCTATGAATGAAAACATGCAGTATTTGGTTTTCTGTTCTTGTGTCAGTTTGCTGAGAATGATGGTTTCTAGATTCATCCACGTCTCTACAAAGGACAAGAAGTTGTTTTTTATGGCTGCATAGTATTCCATGGTGTATATGTGCCACATTTTCTTTGTCCAGTCTATCATTGGTGGGCATTTGGGTTGGTTCCAGGTCTTTGATATCATAAACAGTTCCACAACAAACATATGTGTGCATGTGTCTTTATAATAGAACAATTTCTAGTCCTTTGGATATATACCCAGTAATGGGATTGCTGGATCAAATGGAATTTCTATTTCTAGATCCTTGAGGAATCACCACACTGCCTTCCACAATGGTTGAACTAATTTACCCTCCCATCAACAGTGCATCAGTGTTCCTTTTTCTTCACATCCTCTCCAGCATCTGTTGTCTCCAGATTTTTAAATGATCGCTATTCTAACTGGCATGAGATGGTATTTCATTGTGGTTTTGATTTGCGTTTCTCTGATGACCAGTGATGATGAACATTTTTTCATATGTTTGTTGGCCTCATAAATGTCTTCTTTTGTAAAGCATCTGTTCATATCCTCTGCCCACTTTTGAAAGGGTTTGTTTGTTTTTTTCTTGTAAATCTGCTTTAGTTCTTTGTAGATTCTGGATATTCAGCCTTTGTCAGATGGGTAGACTGCGAAGTGTTTTTTCCCATTTTGTTGGTTGCTGGTTCACTCTAATGATTGTTTCTTTTGATGTGCAGAAACTCTTAAGTTTAATTAGGTCCCATTTGTCTATTTTGGCTTTTGCTGTCATTGCTTTTGGTGTTTTAGTCATGAAGTCCTTGCCTATGCCTATGTCGCCTCTCTTGTTCTTTCAGTTGTGATGTTAGAGTGCCAGTTTGGGCTCTTTGCAGCTTTCTGATGTGGGCAGTTAGTGCTATAAATTTCCCTCTTAACACTGCTTTAGCTGTGTCCCAGAGATTCTGGTACATTTTCTCTTTGTTCTCAGTGGTTTCAAAGAACTTTCTGATTTCTGCCTTAATTTCACTATTTTCCCAGAAGCCATTCAGGAGCAGGTTGTTCAATTTCCATGAAATTGTGCAGTTTTGAGTGAGTTTCTTAATCCTGAGTTCTAATTTAATTGCACTGTGGTCTGAGAGACTGTTATGATTTCAGTTCTTTCGCATTTGCTGAGGAGTGTTTTACTTCCAATTATTTGGCCAATTTTAGGATAAGTGCCATGTGACACTGAGCAGAATGCATATTCTGTTGATTTGGGGTAGAGAGTTCTATAGACGTCTACTGGGTCCACTTGATCCTGAGCTGAGTTCAAGTACTGGATATCCTTTTTAATTTTCTGTCATATTGATCTGTTTAATACCGACAGTGGGCTGTTAAAGTCTCCCACTATTATCGTGTGGGAGTCTAAGTCTCTTTGTAGGTCTCTAAGAACTTGTTTTATGAATCTGGGGGCTCCTGTATTGAGTGCATATATGTATTTAGAATAGTTATCTCTTGTTTAATGGTTCCCTTTATGATTATGTAAAGCTTTTCTTTGTCTTTTTTGACCTTTGTTGGTTTAAGGTCCATTTTGTCAGAGACTAAGATTGCAAACCCAGTTTTTTTTGCTTTTCATTTTCTTGGAAAATTTTCCTCCATCTCTTTATTTTGAGCCTGTGTGTTTTTCCTTCATTTTGACCTTGGAGAATATGGTGATTATGTGTCTTGGGGTTGATTTTCTTGTGGAGTATCTTAATGGTGTTCTCTGTATTTCCTGAATTTGAATGTTGGCTTGTCTTGCTAGGTTGGGGAAGTTTTCCTGGATAATATTCAGATGTGTGTTTTCTGGCTTGTTCCCATTCTCCCCATCTCCTTCTGGTAATCCAATCAATTGTAGGTTTGGTCTTTTTATGAAGTCCCATATTTCTTGGAGGCTTTATTTCTTTTCATTCTTTTTTCTCTATTCTTGTCTGCATGTCTTATTTCAGAAAGGTGGTCTTCAAACCACCTTACTGAAATATCCTTTCTTCCACTTGGTCTATCTAGCTCTTGATACTTTATGCTTCACTAAGTTTTCACGCTTTTTCAGCTCCATCAGGTCGTTTATCTTCCTCTCTAAACTAGTTATTCTAATTAGCAATTCCTCTAATTGTTTATCAAGGTTCTTAGCTTCTTTCCATTGGATTAGAGCATGCTCTTTTAGCTTATTGTAGTTTTTTGTTACCCATCTTCTGAAGCCTTCTTCTGTCAATTCATCCATCTGATCCTCCGTCCAGTTCTGCACTGTTGATGGAGAGATGTTGCAATCATTTGGAGGAGAAGAGGCACTCTGGCCTTTTGGGTTTTCAGCATATTTTCATTGATTCTTTTTCATCTTTGTGAGTTTGTCTAGTTTCAGTCTTTGAGACTGCTGACACTTGAATGGGGTTTTTGTAGGACTCTTTTTGTTGTTGATGATGCTGTTGTTGTCACTTTCTGCTTGTTTGTTTTTCTTTCAATAGGTTCCTCTTCTGTAGGGCTGCTGCGATTTGCTGGGGATTCACTTCAGGCCCTATTCATCTGATTCACTTCCGTGCCTGGAGATGTCACTCAAGGAGGCTGGAGAGCAGCAAAGATGGGTGCCTGCTCCTTCTTCTGGGACCTCTGACCTCGAAGAGCACCAACCTGTGCCAGCAGGATTGCTTCTATATAGGGTGATTGACAATACCCGTTGGAGGGTCTCTCCCATTTGGGTGGCACAGGAAGCAGGACTTGATTAATGAAGCACCTTGTCCCTTGGTGAAGGTTGTGTTTTGCTGGGGGGAAACCCATTCATCTGGGCTGCCCAGATTCCCTGTCAGGGACTTATATATATATATGTATATATGTATGTATATATAGTACATACATATATATGTGTATATATATACACATATATATGTATGTACTATATATAATAAACATATACATAAGTACACATATAGTATAACCATTTATGGAAATGTAAATAAGAAATTCATAATCATAGTTACTCTAAGAGGCATTTCAGTAACTGGAGTTCAGGGTAGGAAATTTATTTATCTTATGCTTTTACTAATTTTTTTACCATTTGCCTTTTTAACACACATATATTACCGTTTCAAAGATAAAAAAGCCATCAGAAATTTTTAAGAATTTTAAGCTTCTAGGACTACCATAATATACTAAAATAATTAGAACCGATTTTTATGAAATTGCTGTCTTTCCCTTGAAGAGATTGTGATGAAGTGCCATGAGAGTTCAGAATAGACTGAAACAGGCTGTGGATATGTATTAGTTTATTTTCTATTGCTTATAACAGGATATCTGAGACTGGTAATTTATAAAGAAAAGGGGCCAGGTGCAGTGGCTCATGCCTGTAATCTCAGTACTTTGGGAGGTCGAGGTGGGCAGATCATGAGGTCGGGAGTTCAAGACCATCCTGACCAACATGATGAAACCCTGTCTCTACTAAAAATACAAAAAAATTACCCAGCATGGTGGCACGCACCTGTAATCCCAGCTATTCAGGAGGCTGAGGCAGGAGAATCGCTTGAACCAAGGGGGCAGAGGTTGCAGTGAGCCAAGATTGCATCACTGCACTCCAGCCTGGGCAACATAATGAGACTCCGTCTGAAAAAAAAAGAAAGAAAGAAATTTATTTCTCATAATTATGGAGGCTGAGAAGTTCAAGGTCACAAAACCGTATCTGGTGAGGGCCTTCTTGCTGGTAGGGACTCTCTGTAAAGAGTCTGGAGGTGGTACAGGATATCACACGGTGAGGGTGCTGCCCATACTAACTGCTAGCTCAGGTCTCTCTTCCTCTTTTTATAATGCCACCAG